CGGGACGGCCGACAACCGTGGCAAGCCTTGATTTCGAGGTGACACCGTTCCTCAATTGTGAAGTAGTCTTCGATAAAGCAGAGCTACACATGTCAGATGGGACAATTGAAACCCTCTCTGATGCGTCCGGGCTAGTTCCGCCCATATCGTGTCGTCCACGGGATGACGTTACTTTGATATATAAACTGACCCCAGAATATGGCCCAGATCCTAATCCCTCGACAACGGTGATGGTCAGCATCTTAGACATCCGTTTGGAGGCCATTATTAAACTCTCAAGCTATTGCAACCCACGGATTCTGATGCAATGGAGGACAAATGTTGATTTTTCTATGGCCCTCAACCCTACGTTTGGTGGACCGAGTCAGGCTTTGCAACGGACCAACCGGCCGGCTAGTCTTCCTATGACGCCAAATCAATCTAATACTGCAGCCGGCGGGCCTCCTAGCAGAAGCTCCTTCCGAGAAAGGGCGTACTCTGTAGCGGATATGGGAGTGACTGTGTCCTTTTCTGGCCCTGCTAGTGTGGTGGTCGGGAAACCCTTCTCTTGGAATGTTTTCATCGTCAATCGGTCAACAACACCTCGTAAATTCGCTTTGATTGCCATTCCACGAAGGAAGCGAGCCGATCCGAGGAGTCACGTAGCCCGACCATCGTCTTCATCGCTCACAAGTCGGCGGGAGGATCAAGTTGCCGAAGCCGTGACAGATGACAATATCGTTCATGCCATGCAGAAGAGTGTGGTAGGGCAAGAGGTAGAGCTGGTCTGTCTGAGCACGGATCTTCGAGTTGGGTAAGTCTTACCTAACTGCACAACTGATTTACTCATACTACAGATAGACTAATTCGATGTGTTTGAATAGTCCACTTTTACCCGGAACATGTTTTGCAACCGAACTAAAGCTGCTTCCGTTGGCAGTGGGGGCGCTCCATTTAGAAGCCGTGCGTCTTGTGGAAGTCAACACGAACGAGACGACAGACATCAAAGATCTCCCAGATATCCTATCCTTTGATAGAAAAGGAGTACCGCCTCAGGATACGAATTAGACCACCGTACATACACTATGATATCGATATGAAATGCAGGAATGGCTCCTGTGTACGGAGTAGATATAGAGACTTTCATGTGACTTTAGGATCGGCGGCTAACGTGCAGCCAGAGTACTCCTCGGGAGGAATACTTCCATTAATCACTTACTATTTATAACCATGGAAGCAATAATAGAAGACCGTAAAAGAAAAGGGGCCAAAAGACATCCTTTGGCCTGGTAAATCCTACAGTGAACCAGTCTATGATGCAACCTAATGATTCGGCCCCAGAGGCAGAAAAATATGCAAAGCGGAAGGCGGCGGCAAGGCGGATACAATGACTGGGCAGCTGATCTTAGAGTGGGATTGGATCTACGCGCCCGCAAATTCAATACCACAATTAAATACGGCAGCCTTATTACCTCTTGACACTTGACACACGACAATCTGAAACCCCCTTCAAGATTCCATCCCCGAGCTGGACAGGGTGATCGACCTTTATCGCTGGTTATATAGTGGAGACCTATCCCACTGACGTCGGTAAATATTCCATATATTTTGACTGGGTTAGCGTTGTGGGTTTCTTGTCCAACTTGCCTCCCTTCTTTTGCCCTTGACCTCTCCTTTGCGTCATACTGGCTGGATCCCGCCGAGCGGAATCTTGCCTTCGCCTTCGATCCTTTTCCACTCCGATTATCTATTAGTTTTCGGTTTCAATTAGCTTCACCATGTTCTCCACGGCGCGTCGAAGAATTCTGGATGGACTAAACCGGAGATACATCTATGGCCGTTTGGTAAGTTGTTAGAACACTCATGGCCTTTCTAAAAGCATCTATTATACACTGTCCTCTCCTCTATTCTGCGCAACCACTGACGGTTACCCTTTGCTAACTTCTTGTATATAGCCCCTGCTCCACAGCATAATTTTCCTGATCGAAATGGCGGTTGCGATGCGGCTGGCGGCCAAATTCAACTCCTACTATGCGGAGAAACCGGGTAAGCCTCTTCTTATTGGTATCTAATGCGTCAAAGGCGACAAGCTACTAATGCAGTCTGTAGTATTGACTACTATGGTGACCAACGCGGTAAATACCACCTATGCCAACATCTTTGTTTCCAACGAACGCAGCTAATCTTGAATGCCGTAGGTCCTCGGTGGAGTCGCGGATACAGTTGCGCAGCTGATCACGGCCTTCAAAGCTCGACCGGGCCGACCGAATTATGATCCTAGTGATCTCATCTCAATCGAAATTCATGATCTTGATAAAGAAAAGCCACCAGCTCTTGGGGAGCTGGGCCACGCGAGGCACTTGCCTCCGCCTTTCGATTTCGAGCGACTGACCCGATTCATGTCATATGGTTTCTTCATGGCACCGATCCAGTTCAAGTGGTTCGGATTTTTATCTCGGACATTCCCTCTCACCAAGAAAAACCCGACCATTCCGGCCTTGAAGCGAGTTGCTGTAGATCAGTTTCTCTTCGCGCCTTTCGGTACGGCTATCTACGAACTGCAGGGTATATATGGGATGCTAACAGCGCTACAGGTCTGGTGTGTTTCTTTACCTTCATGACACTCGCTGAAGGTGGTGGGCGTAGAGCCTTGACACGCAAATTCCAGGACGTTTACCTGCCTACTCTTAAGGCCAATTTCGTCCTCTGGCCAGCTGTGCAGGTTCTTAACTTCCGAGTCGTTCCAATCCAGTTCCAAATTGTAAGTGTTGCCTTGTTACTCCAGGCCATCATGCTGAGACTGTATAATGCTAACTCCATTGTTTCTTTTTCGTAGCCATTTGTGTCCTCTATTGGTATCGCTTGGACTGCGTACTTGTCTTTGACCAACTCCTCCGAGGAGGAGGACTGATTAAATCGCCTGCGATGATGATATGAATGGTTTCGGGAGGGTTTCGGATCGTCAGTCATTTCACATTTGTCGCTCTTTGTCTTTTCTTTTTGTCACTAGATGTTTCCTGGGCGTTGTATATTATCGTTGGGTTCTGCTGCCTTATTCTTATGGCTGGTGTCTAGGTCTTTTCCCCTTGGGTGGGACGGTTCAAAAGGTGTCAATTCCACTGCTGGTTGTTTTCACACGCATATCATTACACAATGATGGAACACCTTCTACGCATTGTTTCATCGAGCTTCTGTCATATGATTTTCACCGTAGACCTCGAGGTGGTATAACCAAGTGCCATGGATGGTTCTTTCTGCTTCCATCATGGGCGGGCGGATGAGGTAAGTACGTACTAGGAGGAAAAGGAAGCGAGAGGGGCAGAACCCCTCTATCCTTCCGTACGAGAACGGCAGAGCGGTAGTATATAATTCCATTACTTGAAGCAAAGCGATCTACATTAGCTCGATCCGAGGCTATCGAGAATAAAAGCATCTGGAGTCCCCTGAGGTCCCCGGACCCTTCCGTCATCATTGACATCAGTCCCGCAACAGTCCGATGCGTCAGCGAATCTCTCACCGGTGGCCCCACCAAACGAGACAAAACAATGTTCCTCTACCCCGCCGCTGAACCGACCGCTTCTATCAGGAGACTGGCGTTCACCGTGAAACGTATTGAGTATTTCTAAACATCCCACTCGCTCATTTAAAAGGTACTCCGTCCCCCCTTCTTGCTGCTCTGACCTTCCACGCTGACCAACCCCACCTTGTGTGATAGAACATCGTCCATCATGTCTCTCTCCAACAAGCTTGCCATCACCGATGTCGACCTTAAGGACAAGCGCGTCTTGATCCGTGTATGTACCTACACCGGATGAAACTCGTTCATTCGCGCGGACCAGTCAATGCTAACATTTGACGATTATAGGTCGACTTCAACGTCCCTCTCGATGCCGACAAGAACATCACCAACAACCAGCGTATCGTCGGTGCTCTGCCTACCATCAAGTACGCTATTGAGAATGGTGCTAAGGCCGTTGTCCTCATGTCCCACCTCGGCCGCCCCGATGGCAAGGTCAACCCCAAGTACAGCCTGAAGCCTGTTGTTGCTGAGCTGCAGAAGCTGCTTGGCAAGACCGTCATCTTCGCCGAGAACTGCGTCGGCAAGGAGACTGAGGAGATTGTGAACAAGGCCACCGGCGGCCAGATCATCCTCCTTGAGAACCTGCGCTTCCACGCCGAGGAGGAGGGCAGCTCCAAGGATGCCGAGGGCAAGAAGGTCAAGGCCGACAAGGAGAACGTCGAAGAGTTCCGCAAGGGATTGACTGCTCTCGGTGACGTCTACATCAGTAAGCTCTCATGGATGTCAAGTTGACTTTCGTATTCCTCTGCTAATCTTTGTCTCTTAGACGACGCTTTCGGAACTGCCCACCGTGCTCACAGCTCCATGGTCGGTGTCAACCTGCCCCAGAAGGCTTCTGGCTTCCTGGTGAAGAAGGAACTTGAGTACTTCGCCAAGGCTTTGGAATGCCCCCAGCGCCCCTTCCTGGCCATTCTGGGAGGTGCCAAGGTCTCTGACAAGATCCAGCTGATTGACAACCTGTTGCCCAAGGTCAACAGCCTGATCATCACTGGTGCTATGGCCTTCACCTTCAAGAAGACCCTCGAGAACGTCAAGATCGGCAACAGCTTGTTCGATGAGGCCGGTAGCAAGATTGTTGGCGAGATCGTTGAGAAGGCCAAGAAGAACAATGTCGAGATTGTTCTGCCCGTTGACTACGTGACCGCTGACAAGTTCGCCGCTGATGCCAAGACTGGCTATGCCACCGATGCTGACGGTATTCCCGATGGATACATGGGCCTGGATGTCGGTGAGAAGAGTGTTGAGCTGTACAAGAAGACCATTGCCGAGGCCAAGACCATCCTCTGGAACGGCCCTCCTGGTGTCTTCGAGCTGGAGCCCTTCGCCAACGCTACCAAGAAGACCCTTGATGCTGCTGTTGCGGCTGCTCAGTCTGGTTCCATTGTCATCATCGGCGGTGGTGACACCGCAACCGTCGCCGCCAAGTACGGTGCTGAGGACAAGCTCAGCCACGTCTCCACCGGTGGTGGTGCATCCCTGGAGCTTCTTGAAGGCAAGGAGCTCCCAGGTGTTGCTGCTCTGTCAAGTAAGTAAGCGAAACGCAAATAATGTGTTGAAAGGGGGAAGCGTCGGACAGTCTCTCTTCATGTCCAGCATGTCTTCTCGCTTATGAGGGACGTTTAACTTTCATAAATGTAATGTACATGAGACGATAAATTAATCCAAAATTAGCTATTCTGTTCAATTTTCGCATGATTATAAGAAAGGTTCTGATGATAGAGTGCTATAACATAGTGTTGGGTCCTAAGCTGTGATTTTCTTAAGTGACTAGGGCTGGACGACGGAACTCAATCTGGGGTGGGATGGACTTTGAATTCGTTTCACAATTAAATTGTAGATACTGATAGAATACGTGACGAACAAAACTCAACTCATCGCCTCTTCTCGACTGTAGGCCTGCCGTCAAGTATCCTGTCATAGATTGCCTCCTCAACTGCACATCCTCAATCCTAATACAGTGCAGTTCAAGGAAGATTTGAAGTAAATTCTCCAAGCACCGAGATCTAGCTTAGCCCCGTTGTGAGGTTATGTATAGCGTTTCGTCTTGTATAATTGTAATTCCACGGTCAATTAATTCATTGAGCTGTCATTCATCTCGCAAACCGATACCACGCCACTCTGCATCCTAACGGGATGCTTCGACCTTCTTCAGTTCCTCCCTGCAATGAAACCAACAATATTAGTACCATGTCTTGTAATATGAATAAGCCACAATGGCACCGAGCTCCTAGCAACTGCTAGAGCTGGGGCCACCGTGGCCACCATAGGGGACTAATACGCACTTCAACTGCTTCGAGAAGTCCTCAGCGGCATCATCGTCATCCCAACTCTCTTCCCAGAGATGGTTATTAGCGCCGTTTGCCGATCCAGATGCTTGCTCGGTTTCTTCTTGTGGCCAGTCTGTAGATAGAAACCGTCGGTCAGCGCAAACTCCCACCTCACGGAGCAATCGAAGCTTCCAGTAACGCAATTTGGTCGCTGGTCTTCCTTGCTATTTTCACCGGGCGGAATCCACTGATATTGTCTGACCTTCAATAGGGAAATCCTCGAACTCGTCGTCTTCCTCCAACACGGGGGGCTTCTGCTGTTGGGGTTGCTGCGAAGCTTCGGGCTTATCGTGGGATTGTGTTGAGTTCGACATGGTGGGTGGGGGTGAGAGAAGGATGTGTTCGGGATAGAGGAATAGGCGATAGACCAAATATGTTATTAAATATGGATTTTCAGGAATAGCTCAACTGGGAAAGAACCAGAGAGCTATACAAGTGGTGATTATTAGAGTTGATGGGGGGGGGCTTCTGGTGTTGCTTTCTGTAAAGAAGCGCGGAGACCGATCGATGGCTTTGGGTTGGTCACTGACGCCAGACACCTGAAAGCCAAGACCGATAATTAAGGCCAACCCAGTTTGTGACTAATTAATGTCCATTAATACATAATAACCAGTGAACCACACCCTTTTTGAGGCTCCCGGAACTGCCGGAGAGACTGTGGGTTTTTTTTTGAGATCTCTTAGTTACTCTTAAGCTATTAATTAAATCAATAGAAAAAAACCGGACAAAAAGTGAAAGCAGCAAAACCAGGACTTATCAGATATAACTCTACCGAGTTAATCCCCAGAATGGGGCTAAAGGGGAGAATGTATGCGTTCATAATATTCTCATTAAACCAAGTTATTAACAGTAGTTCTTCCATCCACTGGTAGGTCATCGTTCTTTACCCTTTATCGCATGGCCGAAACGCTCCGCCTCGCCGCCATAGTGGACCACGGTTCTACTACTTAACCCATCCCATCTTATCGCGGCTCTTATGGCCGGGACCTTCCACTCCTTTCTTACTTATTGTTCTTGATTTCCCGCTTTTTCCTTTCTGTATCCCGGAAGGTTATGTTCCCGGAGACCCTCCACGCCCTTGGACCGTATCTGATGGGAGATTATATATATTCTTCCCATTCTGTTTGCTTTCCGTCTCTTGGGGTTTGCACCCCTTCACGTTGCGCTCTGACGTCTGCGAAAAATTGATTTTGATTTCAATCCGTCTCTCGTCCCATCTCGTATCCATTTGCGGCGGTTCGCGCGACCTGCACCTTTCACCATGCTCAAAGTAGGCTCGTGGTTATATGGCAAGAAGGCTGGTGCCAATGCTTCGACGCAATCTTTGGACTCGTTGGTTGAATTGCGGGATCGTGAGTGTTTCTTAGCAATCATCTCAATGTGCTATGCGTGCAGTGATGTGCTGATTTGTGTCTCCTCGAATGTGTAGTTGAGGATGCTATGCGGGGTATGCGCTTCTCTCCTGCTGTGGATGCCCGAAGCCTAGTCAAGAAATATACTAATGTTGTACGAGAATAGCTGCAACCCTCATTCTGAATGATGACGTTGACGGCGCCGAAGATGGTCTTTCGGAAGGAATTTCCTCTTTTCACAATGTGTGTATTATCCGTGGTTGAGGAGCAATACCACTGCTCTTAGGACCCACAACGAGCCTTTGGATGCTTTTACTTACAATCCCTTTTTCTTCCTGTATAGCTTGGACGAGGGGTTGTTGCATTTATCCGGGCGACACTGGGATTTGAACAGGAGATTATGCGCCAAGGTCCGTGAATTTCTTGGTCTGTCGGCAAGAACTAGGTTGATCACTGACCCTTGGCAGCATCGGAACGACTTAATACGGCCGAGACCAGTGCAGCCAGTGATCAACACAAGGCTCAGCACAACTCCCATGCTCCCAACACTTATCACTCGCCGATCTATTCGCCGGGCACTGAGTTCGCGCTCTGTCAGGCGATGGCCCAGCTCATGAGTGCTGTTGTGGGTGTGCTCAATGAGAGCCTTACAGAAAGTATCAAAGGGTTCTATAAAATGAGAAAGGCATACATTACGTTAGACGGCATCCTTAAGATGGAGCAGGCATATATGCAATCACATTCCGGCGACGTGTCCCCTGCAGACCAAGGAGAAGCATCCAAACCCAACCCGACAGCCACCGTCGAGGCTAAAGGCCTACCCCAAAGGTTATCGGATCTAAGTGTCTCTCAGGATAGCAGCAAGTCTGAGGAGTCGACTGAGCCATCGACGCTTAACCCCGGGGATATGCTAAGCCACGACCCCGATTCAGATATCTTCAAAAACCAGATTGATGTCTTCGTGCACTCTGGCTCTAACTTCTGTTTCGGTATTCTTCTTCTTGTTATCTCCATGGTTCCTCCGGCCTTCAGCAAACTACTCAGCATCATTGGATTCTACGGAGATAAGGAGCGGGGACTGAGGATGCTATGGCAGGCTAGTAAGTTCAATAATTTGATCGGGGCACTGGCTGCTTTTGCGATCCTTGGTTATTACAATGGTTTTGTCCGTTACTGCGATATTATGCCAGATCCAGTTCCGGGAGACCAGGGCGATGTGCAGGGCTATCCTCAGCAGAGACTCGAGGCCCTATTAGCGCAGATGAGGCAGCGGTTTCCCAAGAGCCAACTTTGGCTGCTTGAAGAATCTAGGATGGAAGGAGCGAACAAGAATCTGCAAAGATCCCTGGAGCTTCTGTGCGGCAAGGAGCGCAGTCCACTCAAGCAGGTCGAAGCTTTGCGGGTGTTTGAACGGAGCTTGAATGCAATGTATCTTCACAAGTATGAACTATGCGCCGAAGCATTTCTCGAGGTCTGAACTCTCTTTCAAACTAGACACTTGTATGAGCCTGCTAACGGGTGCTTAGTGTGTCGAGTTGAACTCCTGGTCTCGTTCATTATACTATTATATTGCAGGAGCATCTCACCTTTCCTTATACCGGAGCAGTATTGTAACAGACCCTAAAAAGGCAGAAGAGCACGCAGAAAAGGCTACAGAGTACTTCCAGACTGCACCATCGTTTGCCGGGAAGAAGCGCTTTATGGCACGACAACTGCCTTTCGACGTATTCGTTGCACGAAAAATTGCCAAGTGGGAAGCGCGAGCGAAGGAGTGGAGTGTGCCCCTTGTGGAGGCAGTCGGCGTTGATCCCATCGAAGAGATGATCTTCTTCTGGAACGGACATAGCCGGATGACACAAGGACAGCTCGAGGAATCGATGCAGAAGCTTGCCTGGTCCGAAAGCGACGAAAACAAGAAGTGGTCCCGAGAAGGCCCCGAAGAGAAGGCAATTCTACAGCTATTGCGGGCCGCCGTCTTGCGTGCGATGCGTAAACACGACGAGGCCAGACACTTGCTTAAAGGGTCTGTCCTCAACCATGACAAGTCTTTGTTCACGGGTCATCTTAAAGACAACTGGATCCATCCAGTGGCTCACTTCGAGATGGCGGCTAATCTCTGGATGGAACGTCCCGGTTATATAGCCGTTCACGATGCTCCGGCTGCCGAGTCCAAGATCGCTAATGGCGAGGAAGTAACACAACTTGAAAGACAGCAGGTGCGGGAATGCAAGGAATACCTTGAGAAGGCTGCTAGATGGGAAAGCTACGAGCTGGACGCTCGTATTGGTCTCAAGGTGACCGCTGCCATGGAGGCAGTGCGCAAGTGGGAGAGCACGCACTCTACTCCCACGAATTGATGACTTGATGTATTATGATCATATACATGTATCTGCAAGAACTATCTTTGCAAGATATACGATGGGTAGAATATATGAATAGAAGACTACGATCATGTTTGGATACTACATGGAGGTTCGAGGGATTACCGCTATTACTTCACAAACTATTGAAACATTGCTCAATTCATAGACAGCCTTTTTCTTTTTTCTTGTCCCAGGCTACCTTTTTATGGCTTGATCGAAACTCAATATTTCATTCCAAGGTATCGTGGCAAATTCTTGGTTTCTATTTATCCGGAAACTGCGAACGTCATGACTCAGGCTATACAAGATGGTTTATATTGTTATTCCGATCCCAAGGCACCCTACCGTCTCACGTGGCACTTGATGGAACCCGGTCCACTTTTTCTTTCTTCTTTTCCCCGGCGATCGTCCGTTTTAGCGTCCAAAACGCTCTCGGAAAATATTCCGCAGAGTGGTTCGGCAGGCTTGGCGAATAAATTGAATGCGGATATTATGCCATTTCAACTCCCATTAACTTTTCAAAGAATTGAGCAGCGACTAATAAGAGGCCATGATTGAACTTCCACTGGCATCTGGATTTGCTGGTGACAGCAGGTAAATGATCATCAGTACGGGCTTCAGCCGAGCTGTGACCCCACTACGACAACTTAGCGGCGAATGAAGAAAAGATTTGGTCGGACGTCCGATTACGGTCTCGGAGTGGTGACTCGGTTAAGACGGCTTTTCGCCGCCAGGCCGTTGGAGAAGAACTTTATATACTTCTGGTTCCTGTCAAAATTGTTCGAATTGCCTAGACTTTCGATTTTGCCTGGAACGAGTGACGTCTGCAACATACTGCTCTGTTGCTCTTTGGTGCTAATTTGCGTTTCCCACTACTGTCCCAGGGGGAAAACATTCCTTGGAGATCCTTCAATACTTTACAAAATTTTCTTGGCAGTCTGCGATCCCGACGTCATTGTTTAATGAAGTCATGACAAGAGACGAAGAACACTCATCCTCTCATAGTTCTCTCGACGATGACAGCAATTCGCTAGAGCTGCGGCATACCAACTACGATGAACGACCCAATGCAACGCTGGAGAAGCAGAGCACAGCGGCCTCTGCCCTGTCAGCCTTTGAACAACGCGCGCAATCGGTAGTTTCAAGAATTCGCAGTCGAGAACCTGGCCAGACCGCACGTTTCACGCATCCTCTGACACATACCAAAACATCAACTGATGTGATCGTGGACTTTGATGGACCTGATGACCCATATCGACCGCTTAATTGGAGTTTTAGAAAAAAGGCTATCACCACTGTATTGTATGGGCTGACAACAATGGGTATGTAGATCGTTTACCTCTCTGTAATTGTCTATAGTTCTAACGATGCTTGGGTTACAGGTGCGACTTGGGCAAGTTCTATGTATGATCTAATGGCTTACTCTATGCTCTTGCATTGGCATACTGACTTATGGACAGCTACTCCACAGGCACGAGACAAGTTGATGCAGAATTCGGCGTCGGCGAGGAAGTTGGTACTCTTGGTACAGCATTGCTGTTGTTCGGGTTTGGTAGGTCTCAAGGCTGGATACTTCACCCACGTTCAAGAGATCATTGTCTAATGTCACTTTAGGGCTCGGACCGCTTATATGGGCACCGTTATCCGAAGTCTATGGGCGCAAACCCGCCGTTCTAGCCCCATACTTCATTGCCGCTATATTCTCCTTTGGCACCGCTACCGCCAAAGATCTACAAACAGTTATGATCACTCGGTTTTTCACCGGATTCTTTGGTTCGGCACCTGTCAC